GTTGTTGTTTTTTTTTACATCCTTGGTTAAGTTTATTCCTAGATATCTTAACTTTTTTGCAATGGTAAATGTAAATTTTATTTTTTTCATTTCTTTTTTTGAGAGTTCACTATTGGTCTATACCAGTGGTCGGCAAACTGCGGCTCACGAGCCACATGCAGCTCTTTGGCCCCTTGAGTGTGGCTCTTCCACAAAATGCCACGTGCAGGCGCACACGTACAGTGCGATTGAAACTTCGTGGCCCATGCGCAGAAGTCGGTATTTTGTGGAAGAGCCACACTCAAGGGGCCAAAGAGCCGCATGTGGCTCACGAACCACAGTTTGCTGACCACTGGTCTATACAAATGCGATGGATTTTTTCATGTTTATTTTGTATCCTACTATGTTTCCAAATTCATTTGTTAAATCTAGTAGTTTTTTATGAAGTCTTTAGGGTTTTTTAAGTACATTATCATGTCATCCGTGAATAATGAGAATTTTACTTCCTCCTTTTAAATTTAGATTCTTTTTATTTCTTCTTGTCTTATCACTATGGCAGGGACTTCCAGAACTATGTGGAACAAGAGTGGTGAAAGATAGCATCCCTTTCTTGTTCCTATTCTTAGGGGAAATGGTTTTAGTTTTTGCCCATTGAATATGATGTTGGCTGTAGGTTTGTCACATATGGCCTTTACTATGTTGAGGTATGTTCCCTCTATTTCCATTTGCTGAGAGTTTTTATCCAAAAAGGTGTTGGATTTTGTCAAATGCTTTTTCTGCATCGATTGATAGGATTTTTGTCTTGCAATCTGTTTATGTGTTGTATCACATTTATTGATTTGGGAATGTTGTACCAGCCTTGCATCCCTGGAATAAATTCCCACTTGGTCATGATGAATGATCTTTTTAGTGTATTGCTGGGTCAGATTTGCTAAAATTCTGTTAATGATTGCGTTTATGTTCACCAGAGATATTGGCCTGTAGTCCTCTTTCTTTGTCGTGTCTTTATCTGGTTTGAGGATTAAAGTGATGCTGGTCTCGTAGAAAGAGTATGGAAGTTTTCCTTCAACTTGAATTTTTTTAGAATAGATTGAGAAGCAGAGGTGTTAGTTCTTCTTTAAACATTTGGTAAAACTCCCCTGTGAACCATCTGGACCAGGGTTTTTCTTTGCTGGGAGTTTTTTTGTTTGTTTTTTTTTTGTTTGTTTTTGTTTTTTACTGCTTCAATTTCATCAGTAATTATCAGCCTATTCAGGTTTTCTGATTCTTCCTGATTGAGTTTTGGAAAGTTGTATTTTTCTAGGAATATATACAATTTGTCCAGGTTGTCCTGTTTGCTGGAATAAAGTCATTCATAGTATTTTATTACAATCTTTGTTTTTCCATGGGGTGAGTTGTTACTTTACCTCTTTTGTTTCTGATTTTGTTTATTTGGGTCCTCTCTTTTTGTTTCCTGGTAAACTGGGGTAGAGGTCCATCAATCTTGTTTATCCTTTCAAAGAATCAGCTATTGGTTCTATTGATCTTTTGTATTGTTTTTTTGTGTGTCTGTGTTTGGGTTTTTTTTTTGTTTGTTTGTTTGTTTGTGTGTTTGTTTTTTGGTCTCTATGTCATCTATTTCCACTCTGATCTTTATTATTTCTTCTACTTGTTCTGAGTTTTTCATGTTGGTCTCTTTCTAATTCTTTAAATTGTAGTGTTAGGTAACTTATTACCTGTTTTTCTTGTTTTTTTTTTAGGTAGGCTTGTAGTGTTAGGAACTTCCCTCTCAGGACAGATTTCACTGTGTCCCATAAGTTTTGAAATGTTTTGTATTTATTTCCATTTGTTTACAGAATGTTTTTTTTATTTCTTTTTTTATATCTTTGGTAACCCATTCATTATTTAATAGCATGCTATTTATCCTCCAGGTATATGATTGTTTCTGAGCATTTTTATTATAGCTGATTTCTAATTTTATACTATTTTGGTCTGAGAAGATGCTTGATATGTTTTCAATCTCCTTGAATTTTTAGAGACTTAGTTTGTGTCCTAAAATTTGCTCTATCTTTGCAAATGTCCAATGTGAACTTGAGAAGAATGTATATTATGTAGCTTTGAGGTAGAATGCTCTGAAGATATCAATTAGTTCCATCTGTTCTAGAGTGTCATTTAATATTACTGTTTCCTTGTTGATTTTTTTTTCTTGAAGATTTATGCATTGATGTCATTGCAATATTAAAGTTCCCTACTGTGGTCGTATTGCTGTCGATCTCTCCCTTGATACCATCTAGAATTTGTTTTTCTATATTAGATGCTCCTGTATTGGGTGCATATATGTTTACCAAACTTATAGCCTCGTGTTGTAATGGTCCTTTTAGTGTTATGAAGTGGCCTTCCTAACCCCGTGTTATGGCCTTCATTTTCAGGTCTGTTTTGTCATATATAAATATTACTACACCAGCCTTTTTTTTTAGTCTTAATTTGCCTGAAAATTTTCTTTCTGTCCCTTCACTTTCAGTCTGTGAGTCCTTTGTTCTCAGGTGGGTCTCTTGTAGACAGCAGATATATGGAGGATGTTTTTTTCTCCATTTAGTTATCCTATGTCTTTTAATTGGAGCATTCAATCCATTTACATTTAAGGTTATTATTAATAGGTATTTCTTTTTTGCCATTTTTATTCTTTATGCCTGTGTTCCTTTTTAACTTTCTATTTCTTCTTTTTACAATAATCCCTTTAACATTTCTTGCATTGCTGGCTTGGTGATAATAAATTGACTTAGCCTTTTTTTTGTGCAGCTCCTGATTTCACCTTCAATTTGGAATTTTAGCCTTGCGGGATACAGTATTCTTGGATTCAGTCCTTTGCTTTGCATCACTTTGTATACTTCATTCCATTCCCGTCTGGCCTATTGTATTTCTTTTGACAAATCAGTTGATAGTTTAATGGGAGATCCCTTGTAGGTAACTTTCTGTCTCTCTCTGGCAGTCTTTTAAGATTCATACATTGTTGTTTGCCAGTTTAATTGTGATGTGTCTTGGTGTTGATCTTTTTAGGTTCATCTTATTTGATACTTTGTGTGCTTCTTGTACTTGTGTGACTTTTTTCTTCACAAAGTCAGGGAAATTTTTTGCCATTATTTCTTCTAACATGTTTTCTATTCTTTGCTCAGCTTCCTCACCTTCTGGCACCTCTGTTATGCAGATGTTGTTTCGTTTTGTGTTGTCCCAGAGCTCCCTTAGACTCTCTTCCTGCTTTTTAATTTTATTTTCCAGTTGCTGCTCTGCCTGGATGTTTATTTCTACCCTGTCTTCTAACACTGATTCAGTCCTCAGCTTCTTCTAATCTACTGTTGAAACCTTCCATTGTGTTCTTTATTGCAGCTATGCCATTCTTTATATCCTCTTGATTCTTACGCATGTTCGGTGAATTTTGTATCCAGACTTTTGAGCATCCTTATAACCATTACTCTGATTTTTTTTCTGACAAATTGCTTGCCTTTTTTTCATTTAGTTCATTTTCTAGTGATTCCTCATTTTCTTTCATTTGGGGTTTTTTTTTGGTCTCCCCATTTTTGCTGTTTCTTTGTAATTTTTTTCTATGTATTAGATCAAACTGCTATGCAACCAGATTTTTTGAATTGGTCTTATGTAGTAGATGTTTTGTGGGACCCAGTGGTGCAGTCTCTCAGGTCTCCAGGGCTGGGTATTCTAGGGAGGCCTCCTACTAAAGATATTTGGGTTCTCCTGATGTAGCTGGGTCTTGAATGTTATTGTCCCATTCATTGATTGAGTCTTCTTTCAGGGTATCTGATTATGTGGCTTGCTCCCTACCACCTTGTGCCAACTATTGTGGAGGTGCTGAATGAACAGCACAAAATACAACACAAGAAGACCCAACACAGAAGGAACAGAACACAAATGTACACAAGACACCTATAACCCCAATCAAAGTGACCACCAGAGGAATGAGAATTAGGAAAAAGAAAAGAGAAGATATAAAAATTATAAGTAAAAATTTTACTAAAACAAATCTTCATGATCATGTTGTCAACACTTTTTACTTAAGAAGAAATATGCACCATAAATAGCCTCATAAAATGAGCTTGAGAATCTACTCTCCTCTTGAATTTTTTGGAATAATTTGAGAAGGATAGGTGTTAGGTCTTTGAATGTTTGGTAAAATTCACTTGTGAAGCCATCTGGTCCAGGAAATTTGTTTGTTGGGAGTTTTTGTTTGTTTGTTTTGTTTAGTTTAGTTTTTACTGCTTCAATTTCATTAGTTATAACCTGTTCAGTTTTTCAGTTTCTTCTTGGTTCAGTTTTTGAAGATTGTTTCTTGGAATTTATTTCTTCCATATTGTCTAATTTGTTGGCATATAGTTGTTGTAATATTTTCTTATGCTACTTATTACATACAGATATTATATCAGGCTCATTCTACTAGTGGGTAGATGATAAAGGCCCATTTGGGGTAAATAATACCTACTGTGTATGAATTAGTTAATGTAGAAGGACTGACACTGATGTCTTTAGAAAGGCCTCCTTGAGAGGTTTTACCTTGGGCCTGGAATCTGGGAACTTTGATTTGGAGAGTCTTCTCACTTTCCCTAATCAATAAAAGTGTCTCATTGTGCCAAGACTATATAAACAATATAGTTTATGCTAAACATATGTTTTCTTTCTGTGTATATGAAGTCTTGGTATTTGCTAAGCAAGGGTGCCTATATGCCCTGCCTCCAGTACAAACTTGAAGCACTGAGTCTATAAAGACCTTTGTGGCTTCAGAGTTATCTGCATGATAGTTCTACCTGGACCTCTACTAGACATCTCAGGTTTTACATAGTTCCAACCCTTCTACCCCAGATATGCTCCTGGCCAAAAGTCTCCAAATTAATAAATAGTACAACCATTAATCCAGGTATTGAATTCTAAACACAAGAACCTAGATTATTTCTTATTATTCACCTCTGGTCCATCAGCAAATCTTGTCAGCTCATCCAATCCATCTGGAATTTGTCTATATTTCTTCACTTTCTCAGTCACCACCACAGTTTAAGCCACCATTGTCTTTCACCTGGACCAGTTACAAGATCTCTTAACTGGTCTTCCAGCTTCAGGTCTCCCTTACCTTCTACATTCTTCAAAGAAGTGAGTAACTGACAATATTCCGAGGAATTTATCTACTTACTATTCTATATCAGAAATTTTACCCTCAGCCTTGATCTTATATTTTTCAGTCTTTCTATTGGAGTTTGGTATACCATGTTACTTTAATGGAAGAAAGAGTACAATTGAAGCAAATAACTATGTTTGGATGTTTTATAAGGGCAATATGCATGTCCAGCTTGGTGACCATGGGAAGTCACTCCCATGTCTATGTGAAAGCCAGCCTAAGTCTCAGCTATCAAGATCAGTATTGCTCAGGATGAGTTTGTCAAAGAGGTATTATGCCAAGATGGCTTCTGAGGTCTCCTTCTTGCTACCCAAATAATGTTAACAAACAACATTTGCATATTTTAGTAAACTAAAATATTTCAGGTAAAATATAAGAACTTTCTATTTTAATCCCTGCCCAATCCCATTCTATTCCCTCTTTCTCCAGAGACAAGCACCCCTAAGATTTTAAGGCCATGTTTTATACTTTTAGCATGAACATTTATCCATATTCCATTATCCATTATCCATATTCCCAGGGCCCAAGACTATCCACCTCAGCCCATCCCACCTCCTTATACCACATGGTTTTTAGGAGCAAAATTAATTTTTTTCCAGGCTTCCACAGAACACCTCCTCCTTCCAACCAGGGAACCACAGAATAACTCCTTCTTTCATCAATGGAGATCTTGAGCTGCATGTAATTGGGGCATGGATGGGTGGAGATTCCTGGATAGTTTTTAAAAACTTAAAAGGTGAGGGTTTTGGGGCAAAGGAATCAAAGACTTTCATTTATTTAAGAACCAATAACTTATTTTGAAGAAATGTTAAAACTTGACATTAAAAATTAAGTGAACGTTTTGCAAGGGCAATATAGTAATATGCATGCTCAACATGGTGACCAGGGGAACTCACCCCATGGCTATGAAGAAGGCAGTCCAGGCTCAGTTCTTTGCTGGCACCGATGGTGAGCTTGTCAAAGAGGTATTCTGCCAGGCCAGATGTCAGGCTCCCATCTTGCACAGGTGGGTGATATAGTCCCCCAACTCTTTGATGAACGTCACCTGTTCCTGTAGATAGTGACTCTCCAGGAAGTTGCACAGGTGGGCATCCTTCTTCTCGGTGGCCAGCTGGTACAGATTGAGCAGGCTCTGCTTCACTCTCTTGCCAGACACCTGGCAAACTCCATGGCCCTCAGGCTGCTTTCCCATTCATCCTGCTGTGGCCTGTGGATGTCCTCCAGGAGGAGGCAACCCCCTCACTGGTTCTTCAGTCACACCAGCCTCTTGGCCTGCTCCCTCTCCTTGATAGATTACTGCCGGAAAACTGGACATAGTGATTCAAGGCCACGTCATCATAATCAAAGTAAAAGGCCATGGACATGTACACTTAAGCAGCATAGAGCTCAGGGTTGATCTTGTGGTTTCCAGCAGCCTCACAGTCTCGGTGGTAGTTCTGGTGTACATATGAGGGTGGTGGGGACGTCATTTCTGGAGGTGCAGGGCACCAAGACCAAGGAGGTGCAGAAGCAGGGTTTGCAGGGTTACAGTGGCCGGGTTTCAGATTTATGCTGCGGGGTGAGTGTTCCCAGGGTAGGTGGCCAGTGCAGCTGGAGACAGGCATGCTCAGGTGTTAGACAGCAGGTCAGTAGTGGTTGGCGGGTTGGCGGTTGGCTCTTAGGTGGGACCAGAAGAAGTGACCTTTACTCAAGAGCATTGGGGGAAGGGTGAGGGAGGATCCATTACAAGAGGCATGGGGGTGTGAGGGGATCCCAAGGAGTCTGGCAGCATTGACGTTTTCCAGGTTTCATCCCAGTCTGGGTGAGTAGGGCGTCTCAGTGCTGGGCATCTGGTGTATATAATATTTTAAAATGTTCATGAATATAAGTGCAACTGCTGTGAGTAAATCAATTGCATTTTTTGAGCAACCTATTTGAATATTGTCCTAATGTGATTGTTTCATTAATCATAGCCCTTTTGTGGTATCATTGATTACATTTACTATCACAAAGTTTTATTTGAATGACTTCAACATCCATACTAATGACAATTCTGATACCTTACTCAGTTCCTAGACTTATTATTCCAGTGATCTCCGCTATTCTCCTATTCATCAACTTCACACTTCTCAATGGGCAGGGCAAGGCCTACAAAGTCTCAGTGACTCCTTAAGCCTCTCCATCTTTCACTCTTTTTGAAGTTGCTCTTCACTCGCTTTATTCTCTCACCTCTTAATCTTTCAGTGCAGCCCTAGAAACACATTCTTTCTGCCCTGTCTGCACCCCAATGTGGACAGTTTCAATGACTGCATCACTGACATCTTAGATTTGTTCTCCTATTTCACCTGGCTTGCCAATTTCTTTCCTCTTGGCTAAGTACAGACTCCACTTTTCTCTGACAAGAAGCAAAAATTTTAGGTGCATTCTTAGAGAAAACACTTAATAATGTGGATGTATTTATACCCTCCAGCCTCATTTGTACTTCCATTGCCATTCAGCAAGGCTTTGTTTTTAAGTTTTTAATTGTGTTCTGAGGAATGAGCCACAGTGGTTGGGAATACCACTGATCTCAAATGGCCATTTATTCATTCATTCATTCAACAAATATTTATTGATTACCTAAAATGGTCTAGCATTTGGGCATCTATACTAATAAAAGGATAATATGCTAATTAGACTAGACATCCTTCTGGACGTCCTTCCAGACAAAGCCACAGTGGTGGGGGCCGAGACAGAGGTTGTTAGGGGTGACCAGGCTGGCAGGGGAGAGCAGTTGGGGGCGACCAGGCTGGCAGGGGAGAACAGTTAGGATGAGCAGACCAGCAGGGGAGAGCAGTTAGGGGCAATCAGGCTGGCACGGGATCAGTTAGGGGTGATTGGCAAGGCAGGCAGAGAGGTTAGGAGTGATCAGGCAGGCAAGCAGGTGAGTGGTTTGGAGCCAGTGGTCCCGGATTGCAAGAGGAATCCCTGATTAGAGAAGGTGCAGCCCGGGCTGAGGGACACCCCCCCACCCCTGTGCACAAATTTCGGGCACTGGGCCTCTAGTATATTCATAACAAAGAGAGATTAAGTCTGTTCCTATAGGATTTGTATTCTAGTGAAGAAGCAGATAAAAACAAACATAAAACTGCCGTCTTTCTCTCCTTATTTTCCCAAGTAAATACACACAAGATATTACACATGTATATGGAAATTAAAAAGAGTAAATATATTCTTAGAATTCAAGGATATTAGAGTGGAAGGCATAAGACCAACATCTTTTTATAATATTTATAATTAATTTATTTATGCATTAATTCAACAAGCATTTATATACTCCAAATGTGTATTGGACACTATAATTCTGGAAATACACAGAAGAATCAAATGTGGTCTCTGTACTCAAGGTACAAGATAGAGTAACAGAATATTATAAGTGTTCTCAGATGGTTTTATAATTATGAATAAAGGGCCTATTTTCACTTAAAGTAGTTTTATACCCATGGCTTTAATTAATATACCTTTTTGAGGTGTTTATTTCTCTGGAAGCTTATGCTATTTTTTTTAATGCACCAAACACATCGCATTTTTAAAGTAAATAACAAAGACTCATTTTACCAGCTTTACTTTTTAAACCTAAGCTTAACATTAGACATTTAAACAATTGTCAAAACTTACTAAGTTGCCAGTATTCATGCACAACTAGAAAACATCCTCAATTTATACTAAACCAGAAATCTATTACCACTGATGCATAAGTACCTTTCACTACTCAACACTGAAAGACTGAAACTACTCTGGGAGGCAAGTCCTGTCAATGTTAGCTTCACAGCAGGCTGCCACTGCTTGACTCACGTTAAAACACACTGGAAAGCAGGTCCATGCTGGTGTTAGTGTATGAAATCACAGCCACCCTGGATCACGTTTAATAAAAAAGCAAAGTGCATACAGAGATTTATAACAGTTGTAAAGACAAAAACAAAAACAAACAAACAAACAAAAAACAATGATCCTATTGTTATACTGTAAATCAGCAAGCTGAACATAAGATGCCTTAATAAGCCAAATTAATTTGGAGTCTTTTATTATGCTAGTGGGCTCAGAAGAATATTGCTTCCAGAGTCTGAGAAAAACATGGAGGAAGCTTTCCTTTTTTATATTTTTCTAATGTCTTTGTCTCCTAAATATGGGGCTTCCAGTCCCTTTTGAAAGTTTTTTTAAAAGAGCCCTATGTATGCTTAGTAAATATCTCGCATGAAGCCTGCAGCCTTGAGTACAACACAGTTCAGTAGCCTTGAATACAGATAACTAAAAGACACCTGGTATGGGAGTAGCTAAGGACAGCAGTGGAGCAGCTTGCAAGGTCAGACAGTTGAACTTATTTTCCTATCATTAGAGCAAGCATGTTTTACAGAAGCCAATAATAGCAGAATTACTTCACAGAACAAAGGACTGTCTAGTGAAAATTTCAAACAGCAGTTTTTACAAAATAGAGGTTACTATGCTTCATTCCCCACTGGTTTTATATACATGAGTCAAATCATTGATTCTTGTGGGTTATTATTGGGGATGGGGTTATATTGACCCCTGAGAACCATGAGCTTGATAGAATTAATTCTTTGTTGAATAAAGGTAGTAAACAAATTTATAAGACAAGGGCCCAGAATGAGGGCAAGGAGTAATAAAGTTAAAGGTCCTATAGTGGAGGATAGGAGAGTAGTTAGCCAGGGGGATCAATTGAATAGTTTCTGAAACTAATTCTGAGATTGTTCTATTTTTTTTCTGTATTTTATATTTTTTCTAATTAGAGATAGGCTTTTTTGTATGACCCTTGTGTTATTGGCTTAGAATCAGCAGTTTTCTTCTAATGCTATGCAGAGTCCTCCCTGCTGGAGTAAAAGGAGATTTAACCCTTGGCTACTTTGGAGGACCATTTTAGCTAGGGAATTTTTTTTGTTGTTAGTCCTATAAAGAGAATTAAAATTGCGACATACATGAGAGTTTTATCTTTAGAGGGTCCGAAGAGTCCTGGACTCTTTATTCTGCTTGTGCTGCTTTAGGCCAGGTGTGATGAAGCCACGTCGGGATCCTGTTGATCTTGACTGCCATGGGGTGGTCAAGAAGATGGTGTGTGGTCCTTTCCAGGTAGGAGTCAGTCCTTGGGTGGTAAATTTTTTCACCCAAACAGAGTTACCAGGTTGGAAGGAATGGACCAGATCAGATGTTGGTAAAGACAGAGTGTCTGGCCAAGACCAGTTTGGCTCAGTGGATAGAGCGTCAGCCTGCAGACTGAAAGGTCCCAGGTTTGATTCCGGTCAAGGGCATGTACCTTGGTTGCGGGCACATCCCCAGTGGGAGGTGTGCAGGAGGCAGCTGGTCGATGTTTCTCTCTCATCGATGTTTCTGACTCTCTATCTCTCTCCCTTCCTCTCTGTAAAAAATCAATAAAAATATATTTTAAAAAAGAAAGAAAAAAAGACAGAGTGTCTCGGACGTGCTTCCGGACTGCTTTCTGGGTGGATTGTAAAGCCTGTAAGAACTTGAGTAAAGATTGGTTATGGATTTTTAGCTTTTATTTCTTCCTGAAGTCTTGGAAGTATTGGAGGGAGTCTCCCAAACATAATTTCATATGGGGAGAACCCCACTTGGTATAGAGTGCACCTTGCCCAGAGTAGTGCGAAGGGGAGTAAGGTGGACTAATTTTCACCTGTTTCAGAGGTAAATTTGTTGAGGATCTCTTTTAAGGTCTTATTCATGCACTCTACCTATCCAGAGCTTTGGGGCCAGTAGGCACAATGTAGTTTCCAATTAATATTTAATGTTTTTTCTATATCCTGTGAAATTTCAGCTATAAAAGCAGGTCCATTGTCCGATTCTAAAGCTATAAGTAAGTCAAATCTGGGGACTACTTCCTGGAGTAATTTTTTAGTTACAATGGTGGCGGTTTCTGTCTTAGTTGGGTAAGCTTTAACCCAGCCTGAGAAGGTGTCTATAAAAACTAAGAGATATTTATGCCCTGCCACTGAGGGTCTGACTTCTGTGAATTCTATTTTCTAGTGCTCCCCTGGGGAATTTCCCCAAGCCTGAATTCCTGTTGGAGGTCTTTTGCCCTGTTTGGCATTCACTTGAGTGCACATGATGCATTGGGATACAATGCTGTCTATTATACTATCTAGGTTGGGTATATAGTATCTGTCCCTTAGGAGTTCAGTAAGCTTGGTATGGCCTACATGGGTGGACTGGTGTGGCTGGTTAACTATTGTCCAACCTAGAGCCTCAGGAACCAAAAGTTGGCCATCTGGTAAAGTCCACCATCCTTCTGGGCTCCTGCTTCTGTGTGGCTAGTTTCTCCTCCTTCTCCGTGTAGGCAGGGTCGTGTCTCTTGGATAGGTAGGCTACTGGTCTTTTCCAAGGCTCGAGACTTTGGGCAAGGACTCCTTTTGCTATGTCCCTTATCTCATATATGTAGAGGAGGGAGGGTTTGGTTATATCCAGCAGTGCTAAAGCAGGA